AATAAATACAAAACATATTATATTCCCAGAACTGGATGAGGCAAAAAACCAACGATACGTTGCAAGGTCAATGCGTTTTATTGAAAACAACATGCAACAATCATCATAAAAAAACATGCACAAGGCTCGTAATGGCATAGCGGCAACTTGTGACGGTTAAAACTTCCAACAGGTCTGAGTATTCATTTCGATCGCAATAGATTCAGGGATTTCTAGTTCAAGTAAAACAAATGCTTTAGGGAATGAAATTCAAACATTTATATGCCTTGAAGTTCCTAGTCAGAATTCTACCTTATCATGAGTACATTTTTTTGCCAAACCTATGGGAGTGAAAATATATAGAAAATGTCTTAGAATGTATTTTAACTTAATCGTTGTCAGCCTCTTTGTGCCGACTATTCAAACGAAGCCTAGGTAAAACCTAATAATTTGGATATATCAACAAAGTTGAAATGGTAAATTGGCCACCGTAATGATTACAACAGCTGACGTTTCGAGCGTTAGCCCTTTGTCGGAGCGAATGCCAGGTAAAATCTAGCCTGGGTAAAACCTGACATCCAGGGGAAAATTACTGAATGCTGATTGGTTGATAAATAGCCGCACCTTCTTTCTTAATTTTGCCTTTGAAGAGGACCAAATTACTTGCTCCTGATTAGATAATTGCTAAAACAGCAAAGGCTCGTATCAGATTGACCTATATGTATCGACTCCAATGTCTCACTGAACAATTACCCTTCAATGGAAAACGCTACGACATATTTTTTTTTAATCAACGACACAAGAAAGCACAAGAACCACCAAAAAAATACAATCCTTACCAGGGTTACAGTACAATGCTAAAAAAAAAAATTACTTGAAATTTAACAATATAGAAAAATTAATTAGAAAATGTATTTAAACAAGCAACAATAGAAAAAAAATTTAATTAAAAAATGCACTATTAAGTCCTATAGAGCAACCTGGTAACAAATGGTAATATTTATAATTTCCTTAACTTCTTTTCAATTGTTTGTTTGCTTTTCAAACATGCTGTCTTTAGGTTATTCATTGTTTCCAAGAAATGAGAGGAAGAAAATATGTGTACACTTATGAAAGACATTACATAATCAGTTTTATATAATTATGTAGAGAATTGCTTAAATATATTACTGCAGTATAAGTGCAAGTGCAGTAAGTGCAAGTGCACAACACTAAATTCTTCCACCTTAGAGGGAGTCTAAGTTCAGTCCTTTTACTGGCCTTTTTTGGTAATAAAGATCAACAAAAAAATAACAGCTAAACATGTACCATACAATTTTTTTAGAGACGCCCCTATTATGGTAAGTACAGACAACTGACATGTATGAGTGAAACATGTCAAGCATTAAGGCATGATTGTCGATTTGCTTTTCATTAATTGCACACATATTATTTTGAGCATTCTTTAGAGGGCTGATAACAATTCACTGAAACTTTTCAAATCAATCAATGGCTTGAAATTGTAGTTAAATTTACTTGTATTGATTGCGGTAAGAATTACGAGAAGCTTTGATCGTCACTTCCTTATCTCTGACAGCTTCTGTATCCACTTTGAAGGAAAAAATTAAAATTTAGAAATGGAATACAAAAGCTACCAGTACCAGGTTTTCATATTATAAGTGTTCCATAGCATCAGATATTCATCACATTATTTTTTTGTATTTGAAAGCATGAGTAAATTTTAATCATTAAAATACAGCTAAATTCCCCTTCTCAAGAAACATAGTCTTATGTCTGAGAAGGAGAGCAAATCTTTGTAACTGTAGTAATTACTCCAGTCAATTAGTACTCCTGTGTAGAATAAAGTTTCAAACTCATTGAAATGAAGTTGACTTCATAATTCAGGTTTCAAAAATAGAAATGTATAAAACCTCTTTAAACGGACGAACAAGGAATGCCATTCATAAATTTTCAAACAGTAAATGCTAAAAAACTTAAAAATGGAATTTAATTACGAAAGAACTGCTTAGTAAAGTCAAACGCTTAAAAGCAAGCGGAAGTCATTCTTTCGTGTTCAAAAAATTTAGTGAAAAACTCGTTGTGGGTGATGAACTATTGCTGTAAAAACCAAAAGACTGCGTTGACATGACCTTCACTGCTTGCCGTACTTCCCTAATCTTCCAACAGTAGAGGATCGGATTCAAACTCGAATTTTAGTACATAAGAGATGCTGAATTTCTTAACCCTATGATGTAAGAAATCTTACATAGAGAAAAAAAGGGAAGTAAAAGGCCTTAAAACGGCATTTATAACATAAATAAAGTAAAGCGCGCGCTTTGATTGGTCAATCCAGTGTCCACCATTTGCCCATGGGTGTACGCTGCTGACATGTGCAAATGCAAACACTAGTTTTCCGCGCGCGCTTGTTTTTTCTGGTCACGTAACAATGTTATCTTATAAAACAAATGGTACAGGCCACACTATTGAGCTATGGATGCACTTAGGAGGTTTGCTAAGCACTCAAGGAGCTAGAGTTGCTCTCAGCTATCACTTCGCGCGACTCTTACGCTTCTTTCGAGCTTAGCATCCTCCTGCGTGCATCCATAGCTCCAAAGTGTACGCTATGGTGTTTGCAATTTGTTACTAATTTATACACGTTCTTCCGCTTTCTAGTGATGAATTTGTACCTTTCATTAAAAACTTTCATTAAATGTTTTTATTCATTATCAGACGTTAACCTTGATAAAAAGAAAGTATTCATCACGATAAAAGTAGTAGCACGCTTTCTAAAATTGCTTTGCGTATGATCAATCATAAAAATACAAGAGAGCCTCCTGCGTTACATAACACAAATTTTGGTTTTTAGTCACTTTGCTCACGATGGCTTTTTAATAGTTGCATATTTAATTTGGCAAATTAAAAAAATGCATTGTTCGTATGAAAATGAACGAAAAACCATCGCGAATGCAGAATTCAAAAAGTCATCGTAGTTCTAAACTCATTTCTAAAGTAAGCGAGTGCGTTTCTAACTAGCAGTATCTAGCTGGGCTTTTAAAGTGTTTGTTTTTTCATATTTTACCTTCATTGAAATAGCAAAACATTTTTGAACGGGAGCAGCTTCCTAAAACACAAAAATTTCACAAAAGATGCACATTTTCTAAAAAGTAAATAATCATTAAGGATATCAACTATGATAAATTATTAAAATTTAAATTCTTGTTTCCATCGGTAACCAGATCGAGTGGAAAGTGAGCCGTCAACAATTAAACAATTGTATTTCCCGACAATTTAATTCCAGATGTTTTGAGAAACCTACCATCTTAGGCTAAAATTAATTTGCACATCGCTACAGTACAGTCTTGCACTTAAATAAATTGAAGGAATCGTGTACTTCCACGTTCCTTCCATCACGAAGCTTGGAACTATCTGTAAACGGCATAAATGCAGTACAATTAGCTACTATAATAGCTTATGATCCATTGAACTCAATGCAAAGCCATCTAATTGTTGAGATGTTCCCTAAATACGAGGAAAACTGAAAGCTAAAAGCTTCGAGGCAGAAATAGCCGGTGAATTTTTAAGACTAAACCTCTTGGGCCGATCTCAGTCCTGAATCAATCATGACAGTGGGTACACAGTATAACTGCAAACAGAGAGCAAGCTCAGATAAAGAGATGTCGAGGTGTTCTAATCAGTGTTATTTACCCAGGAAAAAAATAGCACAAAAGTTTTGTTTCGCAACACCGTCCAAAACGAGACTACACTCGTTATTGTGCTAGACGGTAAATATGATACGACAATGATGCCTTAAAATGGATGTTAGGTTATGGCATTGATAAATTCATGATGTATGGCTGATAAATTTAAAAGAGCATTTTACTTGTGCTTTGTAGTATACGTTTTCGGACTAAGTGGATTTTTGCGGGGAACGCAACGACAACGAGGGAAAATGGCTCGGTGGAGACAACTTGGTAGCGGGAACGAAAACTCGTCACGATTTTCTTGTACACGGAGATCTACTTCGAGAGAGCTTGTACGGAAGTCAAGGATCAGACAGCGTTTGCTACCGTTGTAACTATATTCTCAGTTTATGCCTACAACCGAAGTGACCACGAGCATACTTAATTACGTAATTGCAAAAGCTTTACAATGTACTGGCTCTTAAGTAACAACGGGTACGAGGTTCTGTTATAATTTTAAAAATTACAATATTTGAATAATGACATGAAAGAGCGGAAAATATCTCTTTGAAGCTAAGCGATTCCTACTGAAATATTCCATCCGTTCTGAAAGTACTAACTAAGAGAACAGAGATTACACTCACAACTTCGAAATTAAAAATACTTATCTTAATTACGGTAGAGCAGCTTAGGAAATAAAAGTGAGAAGTAAATTCTGCTTATCTTCGAGAAGTTGGTATTAAGTAATCAAAATTTATCCAATGAAAGGAAATCGAACTTACGAGCACAAACTCAGCAGCCAACCACGATGAGAACCAACCCTCCAGAAAGATCATTAACTCTACAATTTTAATAGTAACGGTCAACGACATACAAGTGTACGACTGTTGAAGGAAAGAAACAAAGCGAAATATATTAGTTGAAATTCCAAAATTACTGTGGCTTTTTCTTTATTTTAAGACGTCACATTGATAGTAGCTTAAAAGAGTTGAACAAGACGAGAAAACTAAAAAAATCGAATTAATATGCCTGAAACAAACACACAGAAAAATCACTAAATTTAAAGCGATCGTCGCGACCGTCTAATGCCACGGGAAAGGCAGGAGATAGGAACAGAACTTTCGTCCCAATTGATGCCTAACCCCTTTGTACCCACCCATCCCACCCCGGGGGAGGACATCCATCACACAGTAATCTCGTGCGTGGGAAACTAACGTCTCCTATCCCTAACCTTGCAAGAGACTGGACCTCCATTTATTCGTCCCTATCCGAGAAGACTAGAATATCTAACCATTTCTTGATGTTGTAGAAAGGTAGCATATTCTTCTCAATTATTTTAAGACCTTGAGTGTTGGTCTGGCCGGGGCTCGAACCCTCGACTTCCCGCACAACAGTCCAGGGCCATTGAGCTAACCGGGAGGCGGTTGGAATGTATCTCATTTCAATACAAGCTGAAAGTGGATTCGACTGAAGTCGAAGAGAGAAAATGATACGACATTATTTGCTCTTGATTTACTACAATTCAAGTAATTTCGATACAAAGCAAAGTTTGAATTGCAGGTATTCATTCGTCTACCGTGAGGTAAACTAAGCTGCGCCAAGGGAGTGCTACAAATCAGGGAATCATGCGCAAGTTCTGCAGATGCAGATGCAGATGCAGATGTAGATGCAGATGTAGATGCAGATGCTTGCAATGCTAGTTCTAGTCACTTACATTTAACTCACGTAACACACGATTCGAGAAAAATAGTGACAGCCTTTCTCTAATCTTGTCCCGTGTGTAAAACTAACCTTAACTAAGAAAAGCATGCAGTCTACCATTAAAATTGTCTAAATTTCAACTAGACGTACGAATCGTAGGCGAAACGAGCGCAAACCGCGTCTAATTTTGCTTTATAGTAGAAGGTTCAGTGGTAAAGAAAAAGGAAGTATGTCACTCGTGGTCTGATATATAGACGACCACAATTACACACCACGATAGCTCTGTAATTGATATGGGTACCGCTTATAAACTTCGCCACTGAAGAAGAAAGTATTCACAATCATGATTGGGAAAAAAGACTTTAAATTCATATCGTATCTCCTTGCCACTTTCCAGAATCAAGTCAGGTATCATAGTCTAATAACTGCTTCAGAACTTTTCTTGATTTCCATGTAACATTTCTTAGCTGAAGGGCGTTCGTGTGGGGCCTGACTCCAACACTGAGTCATTAAATTTTTCCAGGGGAGTGGAGGTTTCCTACAATTGCTGATTTCGACCTCTGGACGGTAACCATCATCGGCTATCTTCTTCATAATCTCTTTGAGTGCTAGCCCCTTTAACCCAGCGAAGACCTGTCGTCCATACCACATCTCCCACAAAATTATTCCAAGATTGTAAATGTCTGCTTGGAAGCTATACCTTTTTGAGTTAAACACCTCAGGTGCCATGTAAAGAGCTGTTCCAGCCCATGAACCTGTGATATACTTTGCCTCTTTGGACTCCCCAACATCGGCAATCTTCACTGAGTTATCTTCTGATAGCTTCAATTAGAAGGAAAACATCGAATTTGAAAATCGTATTGCCGATGATCTGCGGATCATGATGTCAAGAAACCCTTACGAGGTCGAAAAGTAAATTCACAGAATTTTATACCAAGGTCATGGGTACTCATAGTCTCCTTCGCAGCCGTTGTTTGGGCTCGTCACGCAACGCTCCCCCCCCCCAGACAATGATTTTTAACGCAGACAAAATTACCCACACTCTTAAATGTCTTCGAGACTGACTACGAACTTCAATACAGTGAATGCTGCACTGGTACTATTCGTCAATAAGTTACAATAGAAGGATATCAGTACTGTATCTCCTTAGATAGAGCCTTTCAATCACTTATATCCGAAAATTTCAACAATTTTGTCATGACAATAGGATGTACTGCAGTTGCTCTCTAGGTGGACGACCTCCAGCAAGTGCTAAGAGAAAGCTCAGCTGTGTTTCCGGTTAGCTAATTAAAATCTGAACAAAAACTTATTAACGAGAACATCGTGGGAAGGAGAGATGTTTTCGGGCAGTTACCGAAGGGGTTTGGAAAGAGTTTAAGAGTGTGTCTCTGTAAAAGCGGTCCGGTCAATTTTGCTTGAGACACCGAATTCCCTCATTTCTTGTGGGTTGTAAGACATTCATGTGCCTATACTAAAACCACAATCCGTTTTATCGGATCTCTTTATTTTTCAAAGTTTTACGGAAATGAAATTTCACTCGAGCGAAGGCCTGTCGTGACACTTTTCAAGACTTTAATTTCAGACAACTTTGGAGGACAATTTAAAAGAAATTACGGAACTCAGCAAAAAACAAATACCACAGCTACGTATATTAATTCTATCTTATCCATCAAGGCGACTTTCGTGAACATCACATGTCAATCAAGGAAACAGGAAGACTTGAATGACACCTTATCAGTTTGCTTAAGTCACACACGCGAAAACCGATCAAATTCAAGGCAAATTTTTGAAAAAGTGAGGGGTTCTTAACTGATCCAACTAACATAGTTAGGAAGTAGATGCCATAGGAAAGGTAACTACAGAAAAACACTTTGCGGCCCGACCTTTACGAAAACTTCATAACTCCACGAACTTACCTAATTTTCGGTAATCTCCAAGTTTGGCCGCCATTTTGAGGGACTTATCAACATGAAGCGTCGCAGACACAAATCGAGCAAGTAGATCTAAAACCGTCAGAAATAGATGCGAAAGCCATTCAAGTAAACTTTACTTTCTATTCAAGCAGCAAAATGTGAAATTATTCGTAATACTTACCATTCCTACATTCCCATACGACCATTTCTTCCAACAATTCAAACACAACTAGTGTTCAAATTCCCCTCGTCAGTCCACCATAAGAAATAACCTGTGTCACCCAAGCTTGGACTAAAATGTGAAGTACGAATCAAATAACACAACTGCTTTTTCTTCGAGGCAAGATCATGCTGGTATTTTGATTTTCTGATCGACAAGAACGGTGTTCAGTAAGGGATCGCCATGTTTACCTCATACACGGACCGCTGACCAGCCGCTGAGTGAAAACAGAACGGTGTGGGGTGGGGTGGGTGGAGACTTATCATCATAACCACCAACCGTGCAGGAGGAAGCGTTGCGTGACGAGCCCAAACAACGGCTGCGAAGGAGACTAGGGTACTCATTGAACTAGGTGAAAACATAGTTTGTACCTAAAATACTCCATGAATATTCAGTACTGATGTAGGACAAGTAATATTTTCTGTGAAAACGAAACGATTAATATACGAGCTCTAGATTTCTATTGCACTAGACTACGAGCATTTCCTCTTTTTTGGCGAGGTCCGTCGCGTGATACATAAAATATCGGTGAAAAAAAAGTTCATGTATGCGCGTCGCGGGAAACTCTTCAAGTGACACCTCATGCGTTTCCCGTGGCGCGCTAACCGCATTTTTTTTTTCAATGATTTGTTCTAGACTCTCGCGACGTACCTCGACGAAAAAGAGGGACTACTCCTAGTCTATTATTACACCAATTAATAGATAACTCTTATAATTGCCTTAATATAAATCATAAATCCCAAGTTTTAACTATTATCTCACTGCATACCAAGATGTTTTCCATCGTGAGATCCCGATGAACAACCCCTTCTTTATGTATGAACACAAGTGCCTCGGATATCTCTCTTGCCCATCGTTTAACTGTTTTTATGTTTGCAATATCTTTTGTTTCTGCAGGAACGAAGGCTCGATTATTAAAGATGCGGTTTTTCAAGTTCTCTTTGCACTTTTCCAGCACCATTATAACTTTTGTCACACCATCTTTTTCCAGGAGAGATGTACCATAGAATTTCACAACGTAAGGATGGTCCAACCTCCTAAGAAAGGAATGAGTTCAACGTAGTCATACATCACTTCGAATTTTTGCTGGGTTGTAGGCACTGTTCAGAAATGTTCGAAAATATAGATGAGTTTTAATTTCATTTTCCTTTTTTTTAATAAGAATAATAGCCATACAATTTTTAAGTCAAAAAAGGCAAAATCGCTCGTAAAATACAAGGACAAAATGGGTATAATAATAGAAGTACTATGTCTTATTATAAGTAGGTGTGGAAAATGGCATAAAATTTGTCGAAGAATAGAACATGGAAATATGTATCAATGGGATACGTGCAAATTTTTTCATCAGATCAAAATTGATGTATTAGACTATCAACTTTTTTTAACTATTTATTTGCCGTTGTAATAAAAAAAATCTTCCTTCTGTTCAAAGCACTCTGTTTATCGTCTGATGTAGGTGTATCCCATCCTCGGAGACCCAGGGGCTGTGAGTCGAGTTCAAGTTAGGGCATGAAGAGCCCCTGGGGACATTGTCTTACAAGACTAGTTCCAAACAGTCGCAGTCGTTCTGCCATCTGATTGGTTCCAGAAAATTTGTGTTTTTCTGCCCAATCAGAGTGAAGAGTGCTTTAGAGTCCTTTCGTGTGTTTTAACACGGACATATAGTAGTAGCTCAGTTGTTCGCTATGTTTGTTTGGACCGTGCGACGGAGATTTGCTTGAGGTGAAAAGTTTCAGTCTCAGCACACAATGTAAGAGAAATCGATCAGATTGTCCACGAAAATCTTACCGGAAATTATACTGAATACTTTCGCAGGTATCACTAGAGAACGTG